AGAATGCCAAGAGTGTGTAAAGCTGTCATCAAGACAAAGGGTGGCTACTTTGAAGAATCTCAAATATAAAATATATTTTGATTTGTTTAACACTTTTTTGGTTACTACATGATTCCATATGTGTTATTTCATAGTTTTGATGTCTTCACTATTATTCTACAATGTAGAAAATAGTCAAAATAAAGTAAAACCCTTGAATGAGTAGGTGTGTCCAAACTTTTGACTGGTACTGTATGTACATATCTACCTCAATTACATCGACCCGGTACTGGTACCCTTGTATATAGCCAAGTTATCATTACTCATTGTGTATTTATTATTACTTTTGTTATTACGTGTTTTACTTTTCCATTATTTCTCTATTTTCTTTCACGCTGCATTGTTGGGAAGGCCCGTAAGTAAGAATTTCACTGTTAGTCCACACCTGTTTTTCACGAAGCATGTGACGAATAACATTTGATTTGCATTGATTTTGATTTATCTAACCAAACTTTACTTTTTGATTATGTCGGAGCACTAGATCTGTTGATCGCTGGAGTCAGGTAGTAAATGTGTTTAGCACAAAGGCTCTAAAACAGATATGAAGGTTTTTCTTCTTCAAATAAATACACAATGAGTAACGATAACTTGGCTATATACAAGGGTACCAGTACCGGGTCGATGTAATTGAGGTAGATATGTATTGCCGCCACCTACTGTACGGGGTAGTTCGCAGGACTGAAATGAGAAGAACGAAGGGGGGTTGTCAGGGAACACCTCCTTGTCAGGGAGCTCCTCCTTGTCAGGGAATGCCTCCTTGTCAGGGAATGCCTCCTTGTCAGGGAACGCCTCCTTGTCGGCAAACGCCAGCATTCAGACCCTTCTTAATTAGAGGGCTGAAAAGTCAATACCCCTAGCTCAATGTTGAATTGGAACACTACTCCGACTTGATGCGGCTCGCGGGACCGCGCAAAACGGAGGGGGAGTGCTAAGGGGGGTATTGGGATTGAGCCTTTTAGTGCGGATATACACAGAACATGATACTTAACTGCAGGTTTCAGAACTTATAAAATACATCGGACTTGACATTTATGACCAACGAGATGGGACCACTTGTACCCGGAGATGTTATTTTAGCGAATGTTGACATTATATTTTTACTTAGTAATGTTCATGCTCCGAGGATCTGTTCTTTATGTTCATTTTCTCTATTTTCATCTCACCAATCAACCGCACCATCAATTCCAAATTGTTCCGTGGAATATGATACCATTCCATTACAATTTAAAGATACTGTACATTAAAGTAATAGATACAGAAATGTAAGAGTAACCATGGCATAGCACATTTCAATACTGAATAGGGATCGGTTTGCAGTGTTCCATGTCAAAAGATCCTGCACATTAATCATTAATCATACTGTGTATTTGAACAATGTTATATAAGAGTGAATTAGAAAGTGTTTAGTCATCTAAACGCTGAACTACTTTAGTTTGATTTCTTCCTCACTAATGCCATAGGAATGAGTGATGCCTAATCAGACATCATCTCTCCCTAGTGGTTATACCTACTGCTCCTCTCTGACACACAAGGAGAAACCCTCCTGAAGTGGTTCTGACAGAATATAAAAGAGAGACACTGGCCAGTGGCCTAGCTTTACAGCACATGCACGGCACAAAAAAAACCCCCAGCTTCCATCCTCTTACGCTACCATAAGTGGGACAACAAAAGGATATTTCTTCCCTAAAATGACAGCCAAGGACAGTGTGTTTGCGTCCCAGCTGTGTGTGCTGAACCCGGCAGCCCACGGGACTCTGTATGCATTGGAAACTGAAGTGCAGCAGGTCCTCTTACCCCTCACACAGGTGGCCACAATTAGAATAGAGAGCCTATTGATGGCAGGAGATCAAACCCAGGGTCCGATGCAAGGAAGAACAGAGCTCTGCTTGCAGTTACAAAAACACACACACACATAGGCACATACAACATAAGCTGTGTTTTCATTTTGTCTGAAGGATTGTGGTAGAAATCACTGAAATACTACTAGTCTGTTTGTGTTGACTTTAAACATAGAGAGCTGAACCTCTCAATCCCAGCATGGGCTCCTGGATTGCTCTCTGTTTGCTTCTGGATTTAGAACGTACATATACCGTTGGCATTTGTAAGGGGTCCGACTGACTTGTTATAATAGCAGGTGTTTATCTTGGGGTCCCTAACAGTCTGAGTAAGAAAAAGTTGTAGCTATAGCTTAAGTTACCATCCCTGACTGAACCACTGCCATGTTGCACTAGACTGGCTCTCAGAATGTCAGCTCCAAATACAGATGTAGGTACATCGGTATCATGCTGTTTTGATTAAATGGAACCCATCCCCTATCTGTTTAACAGATAGGAACAATGCACTTATGATCATCACAATGTTACACTATTTCTTACTAGTGCTTTAGCTTTAGTCTGGATACCAGTCTTTTTAGCTAACATTCCACACCTGTCATTTGCCAAAGACTGTTAGCTAATGCTAGCTAAAAAGGTACCCAGGATACTTTAGCTGTTCATTTGTTAGTGGATAGTTCCTAGCTGCTACAGGGGAGCTTCAGAGCAGCTGGGTCCAGGCTCATATAGGGCAGTGGTACTGGGCACAGAACAGATGGGCCAGGAGTCAGCCCAGTAGGCCAAAGCGCAGCTTATTTTGGCCCTCTGTCTCTCCTGGTGCTGAGGTCCCAGAGAATCCTGGCCTGAGGCAGGACGTTGCGTGGTCCAAGTCGTTCCCCCCTCTGTGCCGGTAATCCCTAAAAGAGAAGAGGAAATGCTTAGTGCCGGGTCAATCCTCCGCTCGGCAGAATAAGGCATCCCTAAATCTGCCTTGCGCTTCCTTGCCGTGGACCCCTGCCAGAGAGCAAGGCACCCTGGGTAATGCACATGGAATACCTTATGAAATGGGCTGAACACTGGAAACAGTTAACAGAATGTTTAAACATGTTCATATTTCGGACCGAGATGGAACTCAGAAATTGCAACCCGTAATCACATTTAGTAAATAGTATTTGTCCTAAACTTTGTTGCCTTGGATCAGTCTAAAATAACTTTAAAAGAAGCAACTATCAGGTGGACAGCTTAGTGAAAAGGAATGTTTAAAAACATGTCAGAAAAAGACACTTGCTCTACAAAAGAGAGGTAAAAAAAACTTTTGTGGAGCAGTGAAGGCTGCTGAGGGGATGACTGCTCATAATAATGGCTGGAATGGAGTCAATGGAATGGTATCAACCACATGGAAACATGTTTGATGTGTTTGATACCAATCCATTGACTCCATTCCAGCCATTATTATGAGCCGTCCTCCCCTCAGCAGCATCCACTGTTGTGGAGGGCCTCTGCGAATTGAGTCTTTCAATGCAAGCCAAGGATACATAGTTTGGCCATTAAAACCGATTTTAAAACTCACACACCTAGAACATTTTGTGAAATGTCAACATTTAATAGCGCCTAATCAGTATTGTTTAATGAACTTTGAAAATGTTAACGCTTCAAAGATGCATCTGGTGCGATTTTGACTGTAAATATCCTCAACAGGTTGTTATTCTGTCGGCCTTTCTGTGTTATTCATTCCTTTGTATGGGCTCTGGAGTTGTATAAATCAGAGTGCTGGGGGTGAAGTCTGTAGCTAGCACTGCACACTGTCAATCCTCGGGAGCTCTGTCTTTGAATGTGTGGAGCTGGAATAACAGTCCCTCTCAGGTTTCACTCTCAAGTTTCTGCTCAAAAGGCAGAAAAGATGAGGGGGGGGTGGGGTAACCTTGGTCCTGCAGGGACTAGGCGCTATTTTGATAGTTTGATTAAATGTCAGTGTTTAGTTGGGGGTAATGCTTGGCAGTAATGCATTTGTCTGACCATCTTTGCGTCCATGGGTTATTATCTGATCTTGGTACATCAATCTAAAACATGTTGTGGTAACGCTCTGGTTCTGAGGGTTTTTAGCACTCCACTACTCAGGCCACAATTGAACTGTGAAGAGTTGGCTTGGCCTGGTTTCAACTGCCTGCCAGGGAATAAAAGTGGGCAGTAGACACTGACCCACCCACCCTCTCGCTACTAGACTGTCCAGACTGAGATCCAGTGTCTCTAAATTAAAATCCTAGAAGGACATGAACACCGGACTCAGGGATTCAAATTTCTGAGGACCAAACGCCTGGCCCTCTCGAGCTACCAGCCTAGCTGCTCTGCAGACATGAAAGCAAATACACTGTGGGGTTACACAAACGGGCCTGTCACAAGGCGCCCAGTCAGTAAATGTGTGAAAAGTAGCACACTGTTGTGCCTGAAGAAAGGGGAAAAGGAGTTTGTTTTATTGAGAAACCTGACATCCCTCATACTGCATGTCTTTGTTTGACTTTCCATAAATCAGGGAGATTTTTTGATGGGCGGGCCGCCGCACGTAAGAGGGGTTGATTTTCTGCAGGCATGGAGTGATGTTTGGATGTATATCAAGAAATATATTGCTATTTCATGGAGGATATATTACTGTATGTTTTTCTAGGCAAGAAATATGGCTCTTGATTAGAGGGTAGGGATCTGATCAAAGGAGGGTGCGTATTGTTATTGAGGACAGCTGAACTTGAAGCAATGATTTTCACCATGTTCTCTGCGTGTGTGCTCAGATTTAAGTGCACAGTGTAATCAAAAGAACCTCTCATAGTGCCTTTAGTGTTTGAATGTGCATTAGACAGACTTGAAGAAAGGGTACTGTGGAGGGGAGGGAGTGTAGGGGCCCACTGTAGGGGCCTAGTGTTTAAGGAGCATGACTAAGTGGTAATGAAGCTGTCAGATGCCCTACCATCAGTGGTGCTCTCCTCTCTTCTGAACATGCCGGTCATGTGGTGGAGGGAGGAGCGGGGGAGAGCTTGGTGTAACCAGAGTACCATACAGCAACTCAGGTTACCACTTAGTCAGATACAACCATCCAGCACTATAAAGATGCTTTCTTCCTTTTCTTCTATTTGCATTTCAAATATATTCTCAGTCCAAATGGCTGAATTCAAATCAATGCACGTGGAGCTCGCAGGTGGTCCAAGACCGTTCTCAGCTCGCTCTTTTCACAAACATCGGTTTTTGATTAAGATCTTCAGCGCAGGCCAGCCAGTCCAATATTAGCACAGATGGCCACTGACAATAGATAAATAATTTATCTGTTTAGACAAGTTGCCATTGTTTTACCCAGTCCCAGCTGTTGTAACGTCTGATTCTTCCTTCTCTGATGAACTGCTCCTCTGAGAATATGGCCACATCTTGAATTGGTTTTGTGGCGTGAAGTATGGCAGATCTGTTTGGCATTGACTCATCATTGTTAATCCATCTCCTGGAGTGAGACACTGGGGGTGGCAGTACAAATGAGCAGGACGAGTCACAGAGATGAGATAGGAGATATGATCTGGGATCTTCAGCATTGTGTCCCATGTTACTGGATACTTCAGGCTGGATTCTGGTTCTGTCCTAATCCCACTCCTACAGCCACAGACACATTAGAGGGTATTGGGTCACAGCAAGAGCTGTAAAGGAGGTTACCGTGAGTTATAAAACTGAGGGGTTGTTTTTTCGAGGCTAACTTTGTCTGTCTTGTCTCACTCTCTGTCTATAGATGACGCCAGCACTGGGAGGGATGGAGCTGGAACTGCGGGGGACGCAGAATACCCCACTGACCTGTCAGGGAAATTTGGTAAGACACTGAGCACTCTCTCTCTCTGACCTTTATCTCTTGTTTCATCTGACCCTAGTTAATTTAGAAACAGGGCATTCTCTTACTGCTGGGTATGTAGTGGCCCGTACTGTATATAGGGGATGTAGGTCTAGTTTTGGAGGGGCCGAGTGCATCTGGCACCACTCTGCCCTGTGTGTGATGCCCTGACACACACACACACACACACAAATAACCCCCCACCCACCCCAACAGAATGGTACCGTTTGCTTTGGTAATTGCCTCTGACAGGCCAGAGAGCAGGCTATTTGAGTGAAGTGTGATTGGCGAAACATTCCATCTCTCCCCTCTCTCTCTCCGTTCGCTGCCCCGTGGACTCTGTCTGTATTGAGCTCCATTGTCAGTGGCTGCAGAATGTAGCCGTGTTCCACCATGATCAAAGGCGGGCTGCCATGAGTATTTTTGCACTGTGAAGTGTGGTGGTGAAGTGCTCCCACTGAGCTGTGGCCCTCTTCTCTCAGCTCTCTAGAAGGCCAGTTCAGTCTTATCAAACTGGAGTCCACTACTGCATTTTATTTTCTCCTATTGACTCTATCTCAACACAGTTTATATACATCAAGCGTTGAACTGCTGAGTGAAACTTTAAAGGGGAAAGTGTTTGTTTTGTCAACGTGCCCCTTGGCAGGTTATGTTATGCTGAGAAGTGCTACCACACCAGAAATACTGTTGGGTGTTAGAAAAGTTGTCAAACAAACATACCTTAATTATTTTAAAAGTTCTACAGCATGATTCATTGCAATATTTAATAGCTGTCTGATGTGCATTGTGCATACCATTTTATAAAACTTGTGTGATGTTCTCCCCAACAACACTATTTCTTTGATTGTAAACACACTTTATTGTTAACAACACTTTCTTTGATCGCAGTCCGACCACGCTTCACGCAGCCAGCCAAGATGAGGAAGCGCGTGATAGCCAGGCCGGTGGGCAGCTCAGTACGGCTGAAGTGCACGGCTAGCGGGAACCCTCGTCCGGATATCATGTGGGTGAAGGACAGCAAGCCGCTGACCCCTGGTGAGGTGGGCGAGGGCCGTAAGAAGAAGTGGACCCTGAGTCTGAAGAACCTGACCCCTGAGAACAGCGGGAAGTACACCTGCCACGTTTCCAACCAGGCTGGAGAGATCAACGCCACATACAAAGTGGAAGTAATCCGTAAGTTTGGTCACTTACTTTCAGTATAGATTTATTTGATTTTGGTTGATTCATAAACTTGAGTCAATTTTGAATGGTAAGGGTTAGAGCTGGGCTGGGCTGACTTGGTGTGGCGAGTCTCAGGCTCCCTCTCTCTCGCCATCTGCTCAGCATTATATCCCAGCTGTGTGCTGACTTCAAAAACACATGTTTCTACCAAACACAGAAGCGGTGAGGAGGAAGTGAATGCAGCTTGTTCTTGCACGTGTCAAATGTGGCATTTTCTCCCTCAACCTCAGCCTATTCTAGCCGCAGCACGGAGAAAGAGAGGAAAGGAAAGCGCTGAACATGGCAATAACTTTGCTGTTAATATGAAAACTATCTCCTTTGTCTTTCCATCATAGAGCGGACAAACTCTAAGCCCATCCTGACCGGCACTCATCCGGTGAACACCACGGTGGACTACGGTGGCACCACCTCGTTCCAGTGCAAGGTGCGCAGTGACGTCAAGCCAGTGATTCAGTGGCTGAAACGGGTGGAGCCGGGGAACGAGAACAAGTACAACTCCACCATCGAGGTGGGCGACCATCGCTTCGTGGTGCTGCCCACGGGAGAGGTGTGGTCCAGGCCAGACGGCTCTTACCTCAACAAGCTGCTCATCACCCGCGCCAAGGATGAGGATGCTGGCATGTACATCTGCCTGGGTGCCAACACCATGGGCTACAGCTTCCGCAGTGCCTTCCTCACCGTGCTGCCTGGTGAGTGGAACACCCTGCTACACCCTTACCTTGTTACACCCTGTTTAACCATAACACTCTGTTACAACCATATAACACCCTGCTACACCCCTACCCTGTTACATTCTTACTCTGGGTACACCATGTTTAACCATAACACCCTGCGACACCATTACCCTGTTAGATTATTACTCTGTTACAACCATGTCATATCCTGTCACATACACAACCAAACAACACATGATGTACTGGCCTCATGCACAACTGTCCAACTGAAGTGTTTTTTTTAATATAATGGTTATATTTTCTACTGTATGTATTCTCCATCAGGTTTTAATAGTGATGTTTGACCAAGCTTCTCATAACTCCTCAAATCTCCTCTTCTCTCCGCTCCAGACCCAAAGCCTCACCACATCCCCATCCCCACAGCCATCTCCCCCAGCTTGCCCTGGCCTGTGATCATCGGCATCCCAGCTGGCGTGGTGTTCATCCTGGGTACTGTCCTGCTGTGGTTCTGCCAGTCTAAACGCCATTGCTCCTCTGGAAGGGTAGTTACCACCCACGCCTCACAGCGCCCGACCCCCCGGGTGCCAGGCTGCCCCCCACCCAGTGGGGACAAAGACTGCCTGGGCTCTCTCACCTACGAGGAGTACATTACCCAGCAGCAGCAGCTCCTTCTGGCCCAGGGAGGCAACGGCCTGGAGGTCCCCAAAGTCTACCCAAAGATCTACACGGACATTCACACACACACCCACTCACACGTGGATGGCAAAGTGCACCAACACCAGCACATTCACTACCAGTGTTAGCTGCCACTGTCCCGACAGGGATGCTCATATGTACAAAAGCCCACATTTCTGCAGTGTTGGGTCGGCTCCCACCACCTACACCTTCCCGTCCTCCACGTGCCCAGTCCTGCCTTGATCCTACAGACCCAGACAAACAGTCTGAGCCCGGGTGCTTCACACAAACCCCTGACTGCTACATACTGTTCTGTACTGAACAAGGCCTAGGGGAACATGGACACAGTCAGGATAGCAGAACAAGGGACATGGCAATGCCATTCAGGAATCCCACATGAAATAATGTGAGTCCAAATGGAGCAACATTTCATATAGACATTTCACATTAAACCCCACTCTGCAGAGAAATAGCAACATTTGTTTCTCTAGTCTTGAACAATCTGCACAAACTCACAGTGGCTGAAGTGAGTGAATGTATACATTTAGCTCTGTCTCATTTGAGTCTTTACTCTGTAGGAAAATGGCAGCATTTCCTGCAACACCTCATCTCCTCTCCGGCCTACTTTCATGTACAGTGACTTTAGAAGGGGCTAAAAGGATCATGTACATTAGCTCTGGATTTTTGTCAGATGCACAACCTCAGCGAGTAACAAAAGGAGTAAGGTGCGATGTAAAGTGTTTGCAGATTTTATGGATTGGTGATGAATTTAATCCGAATCCACATTTGCCTTCACATCCTGAGTACCTCAGAAGCAGGTCAACCAGCACAGATAAAGCGTGATTGAGTAAACAAAGGTCGAATGTATTCTGTTTCTCAAAAAGGTTTTGGTCAAGGAAAAGGACCTGCAAGGCATTACAATATATATTTTGTCTATAGTATGTGTACGTGAATGGAAATTGAAATTGAGGTTATTTACTGGAGGTTAAGGTCCCTAAAGCGTGAAACACACCGAGAATCTTACTGCCGATAGACTGCCGATAGGTACTTATCACATTGGGAGACCGCTCCTTCTCTTGCTAGAACAAAAGCGTTACTTGCTGCGTGCCGACCCGGTAGCGTTGAACCTGCGGTTTCTACTTGTAGAATTGTAATGCTGTTCAGTGGCCAACAACTTGACTTTGAGCCAATCAGAGAGCATGAACCCCCACGTGGGGAACCCAACAAGAGTGACAACAAAAAGGAGAAAAGAGGGCATTTTCTCCGTACATCCATGGTTAAATGTCATGAGCCAGTCACACTTCATATGCAATGTAGGCTATGGGATGGTAGCTAGCTAAGTGCACAGACTAGAGGTCTTCACGGGTCCAAAATGTTGGACCCGTTCTGAAATGGACCTGGGGCTTTCCAACCCTGACCCGATATAAATACATTTTTATATAGAGACCCGTTCCCTACAGACCCAACGACAACGAGACCCATTCCATGTAGACCTGGTCGGAGCCAGACCCGGTCCGATCCAACTGAGGGAAGCAGCAGAAAATTCTTTTTTTAAGCTACTTTATTAACCGGAGCGAATAAAGCGTGAGAGGGAGAAAGAGGTGCCACTCTAGCAGGCGGGGGAGGGGCCGTACTGTGAGTGAGTGACGGGAGCAGGGAAGAAGAGATGACAACCAACCAAGCCGACTCGCGCTATAGTAGACTAATAGCTGCCATAGCTAGGTTATTTATCATCAAATATGATTACGTAGTACCTGTCTTGACTGCATCAAACCGGGAGAAGCTAGTTAAGCTAGCTAACTTTAGCTAGCTAGGCTAATTGAGGCTGCGGGAATGTGCTTTCTCATCTTACAGTTACAAATAACAACAATTCCATTCAGAATATTAAGTAGCAGCCTACCTGTTGGCTCTTGGTTGTTGTAGCCTATCCTTCTCCTTTAACTTTTAATTCCGTCATTTTTATTCCATCTTCCATTGATTAGATATCTCCTAAATTTGCCACACACTTTTGGTTCTATGACTGTATAACCTATTGCCGCTTTGATGACTTATGATTGGCCAACAACAACAACAAGCTACAGTTGTGGTCAAAGGTTTTGAGAATGACACAAGTATTGGTCTTCACAAAGTTTGCTGCTTCAGTGTTTTTAGATATTTTTGTCAGATGTTACTATGGTGTACTGAAGTATAATTACAAGCATTCCATAAGTGTCAAAGGCTTTTATTGACAATTACATTAAGTTTATGCAAAGAGTCAATATTTGCAGTGTTGACCCTTCTTTTTCAAGACCTCTGCAATCCGCCCTGGCATGCTGTCAATTCACTTCTGGGCCACATCCTGACTGATGGCAGCCCATTCTTGCATAATCAATGCTTGGAGTTTGTCAGAATTTGTGGGTTTTTGTTTGTCCACCTGCCTCTTGAGGATTGACCACAAGTTCTCAATGGGATTAAGGTCTGGGGAGTTTCCTGGCCATGGACACAACATTTCAATGTTTTGTTCCCCGAGCCACTTAGTTATCACTTTTGTCTTATGGCAAGGTGCTCCATCATGCTGGAAAAGGCATTGTTCGTCACCAAACTGTTCTTGGATGGTTGGGAGAAGTTGCTCTCTGAGGATGTGTTGGTACCATCCTTTATTCATGGCTGGGTTCTTAGGCAAAATTGTGAGTGAGCCCACTCCCTTGGCTGAGAAGCAACCCCACACATGAATGGTCTCAGGATGCTTTACTGTTTGCATGAAATAGGACTGATGGTAGCGCTCACCTTGCTTCTTCGGACAAGCTTTTTTCCGGATGCCCCAAACAACCGGAAAGGGGATTCATCAGAGAAAATGACTTAACCCTGTCCTCAGCAGTCCAATCCCTGTACCTTTTGCAGAATATCAGTCTGTCCCTGATGTTTTTCCTGGAGAGAAGTGGCTTCCTCGCTGCCCATCTTGACACCAGGCCATCCTCCAAAAGTCTTCGCCTCACTGTGCGTGCAGATGCACTCACACCTGCCTGCTGCCATTCCTGAGCAAGCTCTGCACTGGTGGTGCCCTCATCCCGCAGCTAAATCAACTTTAGGAGACGGTCCTGGTGCTTGCTGGACTTTCTTGGGCGCCCTGAAGCCTTCTTCACAACAATTGAACCTCTCTCCTTGACGTTCTTGATGATCCGATAAATGTTTGATTTAGGTGCAATCATACTAGCAGCAATATCCTTGCCTGTGAAGCACTTTTTGTGCAAAGCAATGATGACGGCATGTGTTTCCTTGCAGGTAACCATGGTTAACAGAGGAAAAACAATGATTTCAAGCACCACCCTCCTTTTAAAGCTTCCAGTCTGTTATTATAACTCAATCAGCATGACAGAGTGATCTACAGCCTTGTCCTCGTCAACACTCTCACCTGTGTTAACGAGAGAATAACTGACATGATGTCAGCTGGTCCTTTTGTGGCAGGGCTGAAATGCAGTGGAAATGTTTTTTGGGGATTAAGTTTATTTTCATGGCAAAGAGGGACTTTGCAATAAATTGCAATTCATCTGATCACTCTTCATAACATTCTGGAGTATATGCAAATTGCCATCATAAAAACTGAGGCAGCAGACTTTGTGAAAATTTATAATTGTGTCATTCTCAAAACTTTTGACCATGACTGTACATGTGCCACCCTCCACTCTCGTGAAAAACAGCATAAATGATAAACATTTCTCTTTCGCTCTACTGCAGAGTTGCGTTCGGATATGTTCAGGCTCTTCCGGACAAGTCAGTTAAAATAACACATACCGGAGACCCTTGACAATCATATCAGTTCCGACCCAGACCCGTGAAATTATTTAGAATTCTGGATCCGGACCCGCTCGGGTCCTGGATCGGGTCTCGGGTGTTCGGGTACAGATGGATCCGTGAAGACTCTAGCACAGACGCAATGCACACAACACTAAATACTTCCTCCAAGCTAGCTAACCACTGTAGCTAGTATTGACATTATCATTAAATCACAATGGATTAGTTTCCATGAAACAGCTGCCTGTGTTAGCTGTCGAGTTGGTGCAGTGTCCTTAGCTAGCTATGGTGTGCTAGCTAGCGAATATGCTAACGCTAGCTAAACATTTGGCTATGGGCTGGTACTGGCAGTATGGGATTATGGAGAGTGAATTAAATTGTTCTTCATCATCTTGCTAGGTTGTTATCTAGCTGTGGCCATCTGGCTAGTATCAACAAGGGCTTTTCTACAAATAGCCACATTAGTGCAGCTAGCTAGATAACGTTGTAATCTACACCAGAACAACGCTACTGCCACCTTCTGGAGTATTTTAACAAGGCTGAGTGGCTGACTACTTTAAGGTCTTTGCTGTGTGAACACAAAAGAGATTGACTGCCGACACTCTGTTTGTCAATCCAACCAGTGTGTCTGAGCTATAATAAGGCTGATCATATTGTCACTATCCTTACAAAGAACCTATATACTTAAATATGCTGGTAAGAATAACAATAAAACATACAGTACTGTATTCTTCTCATTATTACATTGGGTTTTGCAGAGCACTGGCATGGGGGTGTATTTTGGGCTGACCCGGACCCCAGGGGCACCCAATCACAAAAGACTCATTAAACTTTTGAATGCTTGTCACTACGTACCACAGCCACAAAGTCATACAGGCCGCCTATTTTTACTATTTATCTTATTAAAATGTGATTTTAAACCTAATCCTAACCATACTGTTAAGTTTATACCTAACCCTAACCTTAAATTAAGGTCAAAAAGCACATTTTGTTTTCATGAATTTTTACTATAGACTATTTCTTCTTTGTGGCTGTGGTAACTAGTGGAAACACTTTTGAATTCTCAGGTGGCAATCTTTCTTTTTGTCTTGTCCTTTGGATGTGTGTGTATAATGTGTGTATAACTCTGACCACTATATTAAAGTAATATGCCTTTGACTGCTCATGTAATGGCACCCTTTTTAAGCTTTGGGAAGAGAGACGGAAAGCTTGCCAAAAACCAAAATACAGATTTTTTCAAGATTGCTGTGTTTTCTGTGAAAAGTGTCCTCAATCACCATTTTTCAGTCGTTTTTTATTTTACCCCAGTGTTTATGTGTCAAAGCTAATGGACTGCCAGATTATTAATCCATGCACT